TTTTTTTGCTTGCTTGCTTGGTGCTGCCTCACCCTCTTTCTTCTTGTCACCAATACAACTAGTTAATTACATAAGAGTTCAAAGCTAAGTGTCTCTAGGATAACAAAAAATGCACACTGGAATTACGAGAGAATCAGGTTTTTGTCACACTTGGTCTATGGTGAACCCTTTGTTTTCATAGTAAAGAAAATTGTATGAAAAATAATAAAATCCTGCCTCTCCTTTCATATTAAATTGACGCATTAGCTGGATTTTTTAAAATCTAGAAATAATGTTGTGCTGAAAGTGGAAGAGCAAAATAAACTCTTTGGTACTAAGTTGCAAGTTTTTAAAAAATAAAAAGACCTCATTGGATTCTTACCTGGCAAATAAATACAAATGTTTGGCGACCAGACCATTTGGGGCATCTGCAGAACCTTTCAACCAGTTCATTCATGAGATCAATCACAAACGTTGACGTAGGATCATTATACAGTTTCTTTACCATTTCACTAACCTAGAAAAAATGTAAAGGGCTCAAAACATAAGCAACCAATTCAAATGACAAGTATGTTAAATTAACATTATAGCACATACCAGCCTGTAGGAAATCCAACGAACAGATGAGACCTTGTCTGCGCAAAGGCTGAGAGCAATAGGTCGCAGGTAGTCATATATGTCTCTGGCGCTGTACAGATCTAGAAGCAAGATCAGTTGCCTACAAAAATAAAATGAACAAAAGGCCAAAACTTGTGAGAAATCGAGAAGAATCAAGAACATGATGACCAAGCCTCAGGGGGCAAACATTATGCTAGTTCATTACAGTGAATGAAAAACAGATTCTTATACATAGAACATCACTTCTTTTCTAAACAATATTGAAAATGGTGTGTCATGACTAGGAATTCCTACATCAGTAGGGTATATAGTCGGAAGTAGCTGCCATACTGACTTCTAGAAAGTTGCTAGATGAATACCAGCTTCTTTCTCTCTGTGTGTCTCATTAGCACAGGCCTGGACTCGAGATGCTATCTGTGCTAGCTCTGCTTGCCACAACCCCTGATGTTCAGTGAAGAGTTTTCTATACTTCTAAATCTTAAGTGCTGTTGAGGGTCATGAAGAATCCCGCTAGCATAGAAAAACTCTGGGTCTCTGTCTAAGCTACAGCAGTATTTCCAAATGAGGCTAGAAAGTAGATGAACCCCACTGACTGTATCTGTTCTGATTATAGTAATTAATTAGTCTGGCATCTTGTTCATTAGTCCCAACCAGACTAGACCCATTCAATCAGTTGCTGAATGGGTCATTTCCAACTTATGGCAATATCATGGGGGTTTTCTTGGCAAGTTTCTTCAGAGGGTGCCATTGCCACCCTCTGAGGCTGAGAGAGCTGACTTGCCCAAGGTCACCTGATTGGTTTTTCATGGCTGAGCCGGGATTTGAACCCTAGTCTCCAGAGTGCTAGTCCAATGCTCAAACCAGTGGCATCACTAGAGGTGTGTGGGGAGTGCAGACCACACCAGTTGACACCCTATGAGGGGGATGACCCCACTGCTCCTCAAACACCTGCCTTTTGGCAGAAACGGGCTGTGGCATCCATCTGCTTCCTTTAAAATGCTTTAAGAGATGGTGGGAGTAGGGTGAAGCTCAGTGGGAGCTCAGTGGGAGAGAAAGGAGAGACCCCAGAATTTTTAAATTAAAATTTCAAATTTTTATTTTTTTAAAAAAATTGATTTTTTAAAAAATTCTTTTAAAATTTTCTTTAAAAATATCACATTTTAATAAAATGTTCACCATCTATGTGTAAATACATTTGGGTTGTGTGCATAATATTGTAATTTGAAGGTATAATTTTAATTTTGTGAATTGTTTATGTCACAACTATTAGCAATACATTCAGTGGTATATGAGAATTACGATTATCAAGTAAAATTAGTGCAAAAAAATTACTAAGAATTCTGTATGGTGTGAAATGGCAGAAGGGAGTGTGACACCATGAGTTACCACACTGGGTGACACCAACCCTAGGCTCAAACCACAATACCATGCTAGCTCTCTAATGGCTCTCCCAATGAATCCAGTCAAGTCTAAAAGAGAATTTAGAAACGCAGTGTGCCTTTACATGCCAAAAATGGCTGAGAGATGTGCTTCTGATCTCCTTAAAAGGAGCGAGGCCTCACAATCCCAATCATGTTTACTGAGCAGGAAACTCCAGCAAGTTTAATCTTGGGAAGAGGTCCCACTGAATCAACTGAGACTTAACATATTACATGTTCTATGTGTGAGCTCCTCACCTGGCGAAGAAAAGCCCCCACATCCTAAAATTCAGGGGTGTTCTGCTTGTAATGGCATAGTAATGCTATATGAAGAACAGACCTTTTAGTTTTACCACTATATTATTGTAGGCTGCTATGATTATTTAATAGAAAAAGAGATAAAATGGGGTGGCAGAACCACACAGAGCTCCTTGGAGGAAAGGTGGGATTATCAAAGTAACTAATCAACCAGGCCCTTTACTTGTTTTTGAACTCTGTGAAGTGATGTGTTCCCACTCATTCCATTTCCTCAAAGTCCCCTGCACCTTTCAAAAAAAAAAAAACCAGGCAACATTTAAACATTTAAATTACTGGAACCTCTACACTTATTCATATAAATCCAGCAGTTTCTCTTATGCCTGACCTTTGAATATGGCACCATAAGATTTCTCTACTTAAAAGACTGTTTGGTTTATTCATTCAGTTTGTTCTTGTTGGCCATTTCCTATGGCGAGTCTATCACAGGGCCTTCTTAGCAAGTTTCTTCAGGAATGTCTGACGTTGAGAGAATGTGACTTGCCCAAGGTAAAGTAGGGCCTTTACAGACTGCCAGAAATAATGCAGTTTGAGTCCACTTTAACTGTCCTGGTTCAGTACTAGGGAATCATGGGAACTGTAGTTTATTGTGGCACCAGAGCTCTCTGACAAAGAAGGCTCAATGTCTCAGAAAAAACTACAATTCCCATGATTCCCTAGCACTGAGCCAGGACAGTTAAAATAGTCTCAATTTGCAGTATTTCTGGCAGTCTGTAAAGGCCCATAGTGGGTTTACACGGCCAAGCTGGGATTTGAACCCTGGTTTCCAGAGTCACAGTACAACACTCAAACCACTACACCATGCTGGCCCATTCAATAACTTTCTCTAAGTGCCCTCTGTGCCATTTTGCTCCAGGCCAAAAGAGCTGGAGCCAAAATGGGGGCACTGAAAACAAAAGTGAAGAATCACCATATTCATTGTGCAGGACTGCAGGTGCAAAACACACTGCAGGAATAATCCAGTTTGAGACCTCTTTAACTGCCCTGGCTCAATGCTAGGGAATCCTGGGAACTGTAACTTTGTGAGACATTTAGCAATCTCTGTCAAGTTCCGATGCCACAATAAACTACAAATCCCAGGATTTCTAGCACTGAGCCAGGTTTCAAACTGGATTATTTTTGCAATGTGTTTTGGACCACAGAAGCACAAAATGTATATTAAAAAAATTAAGGGAACCAACAAAGAAACATCCCTTGCCAAGTAGTCCAATGAGCACTGACTTTATTCAGTAGCCAAAGAGTTCTGAATGCCATTTGGAAAAGAAAATCCCTGAGGGGATTTAATGACTTGCTTCACAACTCCTTAAAGTATCCTGGAGGAAGGTGTGATTGGCTTGTTCCAAACAAAAGCATTTAGGAGCAGGGGAGGCAGAAAGGAGGTTGCACAAATATGAGATACACAACAGTGTTTTCTTGCAGGTGCCACTTGCTACAATTACAGTTCTGAAAGACGCAAGTACATTTTTGCTAATCAGTATTTTAACATATAAAAGTAGAATATTTGCTAGCACGAATCCTGGATCCCTAAGAGGAGTTACTTTACTAATGCTAATGAAGTTCAACATGTGATAAAAAATACAGTGATACAACACTGTCATCCCACCCACCTCCCATGATTTTTAAAAACCCTTTGCCAGATGAAGAAGCCAGTGGAGCTTTGAAAGCTTGCATGATGTGTTTTGTGTTTTTTGGCCGACCAACAAAGGTATCAATCTTTTGTGGATTTTAGTTTTGTTATTTTGCTTCATGGCCAGCAGGTCTACCTCTGAATATGTTTTCAAGAAATTATCATTATTAATGCTATCATCACCAGAAACAGGCTCTAAAACTCTTCTTGGCCTTTTGTTAGCCCTTTCTTGTTAATTATCTTACAAACATAACAGCCAGTGTAGAATAATGCTTATAGTGTGGTATTATGCTGAGATTGGATCTGGGAGATTAAAGACCCAGATCCCACCTCAGCAATAAAACTCACTGGATGACTTTCCCCAGCCACTAACTCTCTGCTAGTAACTCTTTCACAAGTCTGTTGCAAGGATGAAAGAAGCATTAAGTAACAGTGTGGTCTTCAGAAAAATAAAAATGCAGTAAGATTAAAAGAACTATAATAATAAACTTACTCAGCTAGCTCTGCTCGGAAACGCCAGTTTCTGCTGTTATCTGTAACTAAGAATTCCTGAAGCTGATAAAGATATTCTCGTCTTTTATCAGGGTGAAGAAGCTGGAGATATAATTATGAACATTGTCAGAATCATGCAGAATTCCAAGTGCAATAAGAACAAAATGTTTCATCAAAAATGAGGCTGGTCAGAAAAGCAGTTTTGAAATTTTTGTGAATCACCTTGGCACAACAAGACATCATCATCATCATCATATTTATTTATATCCTGCTTTCACAAATTGATACAAATTGAAATAGTATGAGTAAAAACATACAAAAGTGCACAGAATGAATGAATAGAATGAAATCAGTACAATATTAAAGCATCACCCATTAAAAGAATAAAATGCAATCAAAAAAATAAAAGCACTTAAAAGCAGTACACATTAGAACAGTTAAACAGCAATATGGAACAAATTAAATCAAGGGAGAAATTATATATCCTTAGTTTAATCATAACCATGAAAATTTTCATTTTATTTTTGTTTATATATTTTTGTCTATATATTTAATTTATACATTTTACTTAATAATACCAAACTATGCAGAGAAGATAATGACAAATTTACTTTATATGCATAAAAGTACAATGTACCTTCAGAAAATCATGCAGATGCTTAAGCACGCCGATCCTGACTTCATCCAGGTCCTTTAAGAAGCCATTAAAGACTGGAACTAGATCCCCAGCTGTAAGCTGGTCTCCAAGGATGACAGCAAGTTCATGTATTGAGAATGCCAGTGTTCTTCGAACTTTCCACTTGTTAGTAAATTAGACAAAATAGTTAGCATTAGTTTTGCTGCACAAATATTAAAGCAAAACAAAAGCAAGTTAGTTCACATGTTGTTTTAAGACAGATATTTTAATCTGTTAAAACAAACAGGATTAAAATATGGAGGAGACAATGGGAAAAATGCCCTTCCTCCTTTGTTGTACTTTTGTGCTCCTTCCAAGAGGTGGCTCCACCAGAATTCTAGCACCAGAGCCAAGGTATAAGCCCTCTCTCTGCTCCAGAGTTAGTGCTTAAAGTACAACAAAGCTTTCCAACACTGCACAGTAGAACAGAGAAACCACCTTTCAATCCTATTTTGCATATTTTGGAAATTCAGAAGTACTAAATAGAGGCATTAACCCACATTGCTGGTAAAAATCCAGCTTTTTATGAATACAGCAAGGAAATTGCAATAAATGTTAGCACAGATCAAAATGCTTTTCTAATCCTTGCTTTTAATTCATTTACTAGCTAAGTGGATTTACTGTTTGCATACTGCAGAGTATTTAAGCAGGAAGAGTGCTGCTTTATAGAAATTACATCATAGCAAGCTGTTCCATCAGACAGCTAATCAGTATAGACTAAAGTAAAGCTTAATGCATGCCCTACTACCCAGAAAGAGAAATATAATTTGTTTTGTTGTGGCTGTGTGCTTTCAAGTTGTTTCCAACTTATGGCGACCCTAAGGCAATCATATCATGGGGTTTTCTTGGCAACATTTATTCAGAGGGGGTTTGCCATTGCCTTCCCCTGAGGCTGAGAGCATGTGACTTGCTCAAGCGCACCCAGTGTGGTTCATGGCTGAGCGGAAATTTGAACCCTGGTCTTCAGAGTCATAGCCCAACACTCAAACCACTACCCCACACTGGCTTTCAGAAATATAATACATCCACAAATCCATGGGCTAAGAAGTAGTTTCCCTTTCCTGACTGGTAGGTAACTCTATTCCTGAAAAAGAAATACCAAGAACGCTACAGTCACAAGAAATGGCGCAATATTTAAACTTTTCCCATTCAATCCATTAGGCAACTTAGGGCCTTTACAGACTCCCAGAAATAATGCAACTTGAGTCCACTTTAACTGGCCTAGCTCAGTGTTAGGGAATCATGGGAACTGTAGTTTATATTGGCACCAGAGCTCTCTGACAGAGAAGGCTCAATGTCTCAGAAAAAAACTACAGTTCCCATGATTCCCTAGCACTGAGGCAGGGCAGTTAAAGTGGCCTCAAGTTGCATTATTTCTGGCAGTCTCTAAAGGGCCTTAGGCTTGTTGCTGGAAAAACAGAGAAACAAAGGGGGGTTGCAGACTGCCAGAAATAGTGCAAATTGAGTCCACTTTTAGGGTTAGGGTTAGTGCTAGAGAATCATGGGAACTGTTTTTTTTCTGAGACATTGAGCCTTCTCTGTCAGAGAGCTCTGGTGCCACAATAAAATACAGTTCCCATGATTCCCTAATCCTAACCCTAACCTTAAAAGTGGACTCAATTTGCACTATTTCTGGCAGTCTGCAACCCCCAAGGCTGAACACATTCTGGTTCTTTTCAGATTTCTCATTACCTGCATATCGGAGGCTAGAGTTTCATAGGTGTCTTTTAGACAGTGCCAGTTCTGTCTACCTAAGGTCAGAGCCACACCTGGAAGGCTATAAGCACAGTGCTTTGCAATCTCTGTATCAACAGTCTGAGCTCGAGATGGATCTGTCATGGATAAATACTGGTCCAGCAAGGCCTGAGGTACGACATCCTAAAATGGAATGCAGAATGTTAAAATATATTCTGAGAGAATTAGTCCACTGTACAAAATAATTGCACAATATAAATAAATATGCTAAGAATGTAAGGCAGATATAAGTTCCTTGAGGACAGACATACCCTGGATTTATGGATGCAGACCCAAATGGCTTGCAAAAGACACCCAACAGAAAGGGCTCATACAGATTGACTTGAGCATGGCAAGAAGAGACAAATTTTCCACACTTTCCTATGTGGATAACTAGTCTTTGATAGCCTTCCCATTGGTGGGAAGCGAAGGGAAGACACTGCCTCTCACCAGCTGTACCCACTACCTCTGGAGAGATAGCAATTGACAATTAAACCCTGGGCTCAGCTGCCTCCTATCATCAGCATAGTGGGGGAAATTCTCTGCACAGTTCCCTCAGGTATGGCGAGCAAAAGGTAGGCAGTGACCAAGATGATGATGGCTGGCTAACATACATGCTGCAGTATTGCTGGTAGCTCAATGGCAAAAGAGAAGCAGAAAGGTCTGTCATGGGATGGCCATTTCACACAGAGCTATGCCAGCCAACTACAGTTTAGACCTCCAACTCCAAGGCTCACAGGGAAATCATAACAGTTTGAGAAAAAAGATTTTCAGGACCAATTTTAAATTTCAAAGTGTAATATTTTAACAGAAAGAAAATTACAAAAAATATTTAAATAAAATAAACTGCTTGAAATATTATGTGTACATTTTAAATTGCTTAAAATGCTATGTTTATATTTTGTGTTATTAAGAAACTGGCAATAAATTACATAAAAAAATCAGAGTTCATGAAAGTGTCATTTCTCCAATATATGAAGAAATACCTGAATTTTAGATTTCTTCTCCTCTTCAGGACTGAAACTACTGTTGGTACTTAAGTCAGAATCATGATGAATATAATGCAGAGCAGATTCTACAATGTCCTGTGATGAGAAGCAAGGAACAACTTAAAACAGAGGCAAAAATAATAATAATAGCATGTGTCCAGCATTACCTTACTCAACAGTAAACTACTACAGAGCATAGCAATGAAATAATTTGTTTTCTGGTAGCAAACTCTGATCCAAAGTACAGTATTTTCCGGCGTATAAGACTACTTTTTAACCCATGAAAATCTTC